ATTAGCTAGATCGCCGGTAATGACTGTGAAATACCTCGTTTGACAACGACAACCACAAAAAAATTTGCTAGATAGTTCTGAAAATTGAACTCCTTCTCTATACTCCTCTGAGATGTCCAAGCCCCTGAATATTAGCTTCATTTTCCCTTTTCCTTTTCAGTTGGTCTTTTTTTTTTTCAAGATTGTATTATTTCAGAACAAATTCAAACGAAATAAAAAGAATAAACGTTGCCACCTTAAGGGAGATCGGGTGGCCAAGTGATGAGCGCGCTCCACTCTAAACGGAAAGAGACGATTCTTCGTCCATAAGCATTTCTTTTGCTTTAATTGTGTATGTCATAACCGAAGGCTGTTACAGATCTCCTTTCAAAACAGCTAATTATAAACTGGAATAGTTGTTAAATTATTATCGTGAAAACGGTATGCAAATACGCTTACTTAACGCTACCTGGAGCACTGAAGAAACATGTCAGTGTTTCCTTTTTTATCAATAACCCATAGGGCTCTCATGGCCATTTCAATCAAATTGGAAAACAGACGTTGTAAATAATCATAGTGTTTTGAAAATCCCAACCAGCAGAGTGCACACCAGTTGGCTGTGTACAAACTGAGTCAAGGAATCGACGTTAGGGAAAAACGAGAACAAATCTAGCGAGTAATAAGGTAGAGGGCTTTCACCCGTGACCACCAGATCACTAGTTCAGCACCCTCACCACACTGCCTCACTGCCAGTATGCTTCTTCCTATAGTTCACTCTGCAACGGATCTCCCTTTTTATTCTTACCAGCCGATAAAACAGTTTTTGTCGAAATTAGTTGCAATTACCAATTTCTCATGAAATTACTCGGATTACTACAGTAACTTTTATGAAACCGTATATAGGTGTTTGTATTATATCATATAATTTGTAATACGCAAATCCGTTTTAAGCGAGTTTCTATTTTACAGTTACCAAATTGGTGATAAAAGTTTCATGTTGTGAGAGGGATTATATTCTTGATTCTTTCTGGATTGCTTCATCTTCAGGTGGTAAGACGGCATCTGATGTTTTGATGGCGAGACTTGAAGGCAACCAGTTGCTTTTTCTACTGACGATCCTAGTAAATGCCGTATTTATCTTGGTACTCAGAAAAATGTACAGCCATGGGTTAACGGCACTGTTAGCGTGTCCAAACCAAAAACACACAAAGCTGACAATCGGCTGTATATGTAGGTAAGCCTTAGATGCGTGAATGACGTACATGATGTGGACCACTTGTGGTGGGAGCCAACAAAGGGCAAAGGCACAGGTAACAATAATGAGCATCCGAACCACTCTTCTCTTGGAGGTTTCTAGTTGTGCTCGATTTCCTCTCAGAGCATTCACTCCAGGTGCAACATGGAACCATAAATTCCATGCAGTGATGGTATACAGGAAAGAAATAACGACCAAGGGGATGAGATAGTTGACGACGAAAAGGAGGAGGTATATTCCTTGAAGAGCCCTATCTGGATCACCCAAGATGTAAACAGATAGCATGCAATAGGAAGAATTATTGTAGTCCTCCACAGTTTGAATAACAAGGAAAATGGACATGGAGACCAGTGACCCGATCCAAATAAATGGAACGGTTAGTTTAGGCTTTCGAAACCAAAGATGGCGGCGGAGGGGATGAACGATGGCATAGTACCTGTCGATCGCCATGAACATCAGGCAGAGGACGGATGCTATTATAGTGACGTAGGCAATGTATACAACACCTTTGCACATGACTTTTCCAAATAATCCCGGGATCATCCACAAACCGTCTGTATATATTGCGGAAATCGACCAAGGCATCACAACCAGGGTTACCAGCAAATCAGCGATGGCCATGTTAACGAATATGAAGCTTGTCAGTGATCTGACTTCAGGTTTCTTCCACACGATGTAGATGAGGAAAATATTCCCTGTAAACGCTACGAGCATCGTGATGGCGTAGAGGACTGTAATAACAATCCACTCTGCATCTGGTTTCATCTTTAGTTCCTGTTTTTTCTGTTGCTCAAGTTTAATAGTACAAGACTATTATTACTGAATAAATAATCAGTAAAG